AAAAAAAAAAAAAAAAAAAAGAAAGGCGGAGGTGAAAGGATCACTGGAGCCCAGAAGGTCGACGCTGGGGTGGCCATGAGCGTGCGTGCCAGCTGGGCAAAGATGTGAGACTCCAACTCAAAAAAAAAAAAAAGAAAAAAAAGAAGAAGACTGAGGTAGAAGGATCACCTGAGCCCAGTAGGTGGAGGCTATGGTGGCTGTGAGTGTGCCACTGCACTCCAGCCCAGGCGACAGAATGAGACTGCAACTCAAAAAAAAAAAAAAAAAAGAAAGATAAGAAAGAAAAAGAAAAACCTCTAAACACACTAAGTAAAAGAAAGTAAAAGAAGGCAGTCAAAAGGATGAGATGTTATATGAGTCCATTCCTATGAAACGTCCAGATCAGCCACATCTCTAGAGACATCAGATCAGCAGTTGCCTGCAAATGGGTGTGAGGGAACTTTTGGGGGTGGTGCAGCATTTCTAAAACAGGATTGTGCTGAAAGTTGCACAACTCTGTAAATATACTCACAATTATTGAATTATAGACTTAAAACATTATATGGTACTTAAATTATACACTAATAAAACTTATCCTTTAAGTCATATAGGTGTCCTCAAGGGTGATTTATGCCTGGACCCCTTATTTATTTCTTCTTTTTTTTTTTTTGAGTAGGCATTTCACTTTGTCACCCAGACTGGAGTGCAGTGGCATGCTCATGGCCACCACAGTCTCCACCTGCTGGGCTCAGGCGATCCTTCCACATTAGCCTTCCAAGTAGCTGGAACCACAGGTGTGCACTATCTCACCTGGCTAATTTTTTATTTATTGTAGAGATAAGATCTCGCCACATTGCCCGGGCAGGTCTCGAACCCCTGAACCCAGGCAATCCTCTTGCCTCTGTCTCCCAAAGTGCTGGGATTATAGGCGTGAGCTACTACACTCAGCTGAACCCCTTCTCTCCGAGAAGGAAGAAGCCTCTTAGGCAGCAACAATGGGACATTCTTGTCTTTTTTTTTTTTTTGAGTTGGAGTCTCACTCTATCACCCAGACTGGAGTGCAGTGGCCGCTCCCGGCCACCACAGCCTCGACCTGATGGGCTCCGGCGATCCTTCGGCCTCAGCCTTCCAAGTAGCTGGAACTACAGGCGCACGCTACCACACCTGGCTTATTTTTGATTTATTGTAGAGATGAGGTCTCGCCAAGTTGCCCATGCAGGTCTTGAACCCTTAGGTTCAGGCAATCCACTCACCTCAGCCTCCCAAAGTGCTGGGATTACAGGCTGAGCCACCAAACCCGGCTTGTTGTAGGTTTTCAGTGGCTTAAGAAAGGTTAAAGTTTGTGAAGAATTTTTCTCATGAATAAATATTTATTCATACCCCTTAGAAGTAGCCATTCTTTTGACTTCTATGGTAATCATCTTCTTGGTCTTCTTTTTAGCTTACCACTTATAGCATGTATGCATACCATGTATGCTTCCCAAACTGCATAATTTAATTTTTTGAACTTTTTTTTTATTTTTAGAGACAAGTTCTTGCTCTATCACCCAAGCTGGAGTACAGTAGGCACAGTCATAGCTCACTGCAGCTTCAACCTTCTGAGATCAAATGATCCTCCTCCCTCAACCTCCTGATTAGCTAGTACTACATGCATGTGTCATCACTCTCAGCTACTTTTTTCCCCTTTTTTTTTGCAGAGAAGGGATCTCACTATGTTGCCAGATTGGTCTCAAATTCCCGGCCTCAAGATATCCTCTGGCTCCCAGAGTGCTGGGATTATAGGCATGAGCCACCACACCTAGCCTTGAGCTTTGTATAAAAGGAAATTCATGTAGGATGAATTCTATTTTTTTTTTTTTGAGTTAGGGTCTCACTCTTGCCCAGGCTGGAGTGCAGTGGCACAATCATGGCTCACTGCAATCATGGCTACTGTGTCACTTCCTGGGCTCAGGCAATCCTTCTGCCTCAGCTTCCTGAGTAGCTGGGACCACAGGTGCACACCACCACACCTGGCTTATTTTCTATTGTTTGTAGAGACAAGGTCTCACTATGTTGCCTAGGCTGGTCTTAAACTCCTGGGCTCAAACAGTCCTTCCACCATGGTCTTCCAAAGTGCTGCGATTGTAGACATGAGCTACCACATCCAATAAGGATGAATTCTATTATGTTTTATTTCTTTTACCTGTCTTTTTTTTTTGAGTTGGAGTCTCACTGTTGTCTAGGCTGAAGTGCAGTGACACAATCACAGCTATCAAGCCTTGACCTGCTGGGCTCCAGTGATCCTTCCACCTCAGCCTCCTGAAGAGTTGGGACTACAGGCACATGTCACCATGCTTTGCTAATTTTTTTATTTATTGTAGATATGAGGTCTCACCATGTTGCCCAGGCTGGTCTCAACCTCCTGGGCTCAGGCAGTCTGCTTGTCTCATCTCCCAAAGTACTGGGATTACAGGCGTGAACCACCATACCCAGCCATCTTTTACCTACCTTTTATGAGAAATTTAT